GCTGATTTCATTCTTTGAATCTATTTTGCCAGTGATTCTCAACACTTTCCCCAAAAAAAACTTTGCTTATGCTTGTCTTGTTATTTAAAACCGGCAGTTTACACCCCTGTGCCACCTCAGTCCATCAGAGGTTTCACTGAGAATATGCAGGAGGAATCCCCTTAACCTCATTTTTCAAATGCTGTCTCCAAAACCTGCAAAGTACCTGAACTTCTTAGATGAAAGGTCACTGAAATTATTTAAGATGAGATAAATGAGCACAGTTTCCAAAACACATTTTAGAAATACCTATAAGCTATTTTCTCAAAGTTTTTTTTTAAATTATCCTGAGGCAAGTATCCAGCATGGAAAATTTGTGCTTAAACGCTTGAAATTTGACAAAATCCTATGAAGCTGCAAACGGTATTGAAATGAGAAGGGTCAAGATGGATATTACCCTTAGCAAAGCCAGGAAGCGCACGAAAGTCTCTGTCACTTCATTTCAGACACCAGAATCCTTGTAGCATCAACTTTTAGCTGTATGTTAAGCTCCTTTGTTCTTAACTGAGGAGAGCTGTAGCAATGAAAAATAGTCTGCCAGAAAAATCATCACTTCATCACGGTGTGATCTCAAAAGCTAAATAATGTCTCAGTATATTTCTTGAGAGATTTTATGGCATTTTCTAAATATATAAATGGGGAAAAAAAAGAATGAAAAACAACCACCAAAAGTCTGTGCCAAATAAATCTCTCTTTGTGGATGTTTGACTACACTATGAAAATCACAGTAACATGAAAAGCTACTAACAGTCCAATTTTACTCACCAATCAGACAACCTCAGTGGAGATATCCCATCCCTCTGAGTGATGGTAAATAAAAAACAAAGATTCAGACAAAGAAAGATCAGTCCAAAGAGACACATTATTTTAATTTTATGCCTAGGTCTGCAGAGGAAATAGGGGACAGGTTTTTGTCTTCTCCTTACCTGGACTTCAAGGCTGAGCAAAATGTTTCTGCATGCACACAGATGCTTTCCCAGGGGAGCATCTGAAACACTCTGAAAACCTCGGATATGCCTCTGTTTTGACTAAATGCCCAACTAAAAGGTGCAAGTGTTTCCCTGCGAGCGTTCAGGTGAGCATCTCCCGTTGCACATTACAAAGCAATGTGCTATGTCTGTCTCTGGGTATAATGAGCAGCTTTTAACCACTCCCTGCATACAGTCTACGGCAGCTGTCGGAGCCTGCCAAGTGTTTCAACAGCAGCCTGCCAAGAGGTTGTCTGCTAAGCAACCAAGAAGGAGGATGGTTGGGAATATGAGGGTAAAGGTAATTTGGTTGAGAGCAACTGTGATGTGATAATGTATATTATTTTTAGATGAGGAACAAGAGGAAAGATCAATTCAAACCAAATGGACTCTGTACAAGAAGATGGCAATAAACCCTGGGAACTGGAAGGTGAGTTCTCATGGGAAACATGGCTAAAGCAGAAGGAATTCAGTGGAGTTGGCAGTTCCTTAAAGAAATGATGTTTAGGGTACAAACACAAACAATCCCACACAGTAGGAGGATAGGAAGTATGGTCAGAGATCAGCTTGGCTAAGCAACACGGTCCTCAGTGACCTGAAACGCAAGAAGGAAACGTACAGAAAGTAGAAACCAGGTCAAACTCCTGAGGACGAGTATGAAAGAATAGCACAAGATGCCAAACCAAAAGTCAGAAAGGATAAAGAACAAATTTAACTGCAAAAAGCAATAGGCATAAGGGATAGCAAGAAAGCCAATCTGTAAGGAAAAGAAGAACCTAATGACAGCTCACTTGCAGAAGGCTGAAGTACATTCTCCATCACTCTTCACAGAGAGTGATATGTAATTACATGACTAATAGCTAAAGTCAGTAAGAAAAAAATCTTTGTAAAACAGGAAAAGAACATGTATGAGAATAATTTGGAAATGCTTCCTTAGTCTCATCCTCAAGCATTCCTCAATGGCATGTCTCCAGAACAGCAATCTGTTGGTCATTGTCTAGGCCTCCCTTGACTGTGAGAGGAACCTGCGCCATGCACAGACATAGATTGGGCAATTTTTGGCAGCTGAAGTTAGGTCCTGTCCTTAGTGACAGCTGGGCCTGAGGAAGAGCACGTGAAGGTACCTTGAGAACAGAATGAAGCAAGGCCAGAGCTGTTAGCTTCCTCTGAAAGCTCTGAGAACTTGTGTGAGAGAAGTGTGAAGAGGTAAACACAGTGCTCATCTTTAAAAAGACAAGAAATAAGGAAAAGACCAACATCAGAATAAGCGTAAAAAGAAATTATTCAGAAAAGGGTTTTGATAGCTTAAAAATCTATATTGCTTTATATTTTTGGCATGTTGGCTATTAATTTCTGCAACAGGGCCACAGGCCTCATAAATAGAAAAGCAGCAGGTCATGTAACACGTTTTAATTTCTATAATGCTATTGACACTAACTCATAAGATTTTCAAAAGTAAATCAAAGTGAAACCACCTCAGGAAAAGCACAAAACTACCTGGGAAAGAAAAAAAAAAAAACACAAACCCCAAAACAACACTTTAAGATTAGTTTTTAATTATTCACTGTCAAACTTAAAAATATATAATCAGTGAGATCCTAGCTGGGTCTGTTCTGGTCCAGGTAACGGCTCAAGTCACTAATGATTTGGACAAACAACCTTTCAGCCTTGTAGATAACAATAAGCCCAGGAGAAAAGCAAACAGATTGCATGATACATTAAATTCAGAGTGCTCTTGAAAAATCAGAGGAATGATCTGTAGGAAAAAACACATTACAATACACTTGTATTTACAAGTGTGAGGTTCTGAGGGGGAATAATAGTTTGTGAAGACATGGGATTGGCAATGAACAATTAGGCAGCCATTCTGCCAAAAAGGGAGAGAGGTAGCAGTCAGTCACAAGATACATATGAATAAGTAGTGTTACCATACATGTAAAAGAATGCAAGCTGCATATTAGGAAGATAAACTGTAATTCCTGCACAATCCACTAAGGACTACTTCCTATTGTATTTCTGGCTAGCACAGCAACCAGTGGCACTGTGTCCTGTTCAAGTAACTATTCCGAGAGAAGGTGGACCAGCTGGAGAGAGTCCAGAGAAGAGCAGAGAAAATGGTCGGTTGTCTGGTGAAACCCCCCCCCCCCCAAAAAAAAAAAACAAGAAAGAAAGATTGACAGAATTGGGTTGCTCAGTCTGAAGATGAGAAGGCCAACAGAACACATGAAAATTATCGTCTACATAAATAAACTTAAAGAGGTAAGGATGGATTAAATTTTTTATCTGTAGTGGATATTAAAGCAAAGGGTTTAAACTACAACAGTGAAGTTTCTGCTATATAGTAAGAAAATCTTAGTAACAATAAAGACAATTAAATACTTTTTCACCTACAAGGTACAGTTGATTCTCTTTTGGAGCTTCAGAACGCACAGGATGAGGGTCTGAGGTCTTTTCTAGCCTTCTTTTCTGTAAGCCTGTGGTTCATCCAATTGCACGATTTAGAAGCCTCGTCTCACCCCTCTCATGAAGCTACATTTATCAAAGTTCTCATGCTAAGTTATACAAAGACAGATTGTTGTTTCAATATAGTCTTGGCACCAGTGAAACCACTACAGGGCTCACCACTGCCCAGACTGGCATGATGCCACTTTTTTTTTTTTTTCCTACGGCACATCCTTTCAGCTCTCATAAGAAAAGTGAAAAAATGTGGCAAAAGATCTCCTACCTTCCAGAGACTGAGGTATCTGATATTTGCTGCTTGTGCACTGCTTTTCCAAATGTCAGGAACGTTCCTGTTTCTTTCTCGTGAATTCCTAACAAAGTCTGCTGGAGAAGTATTTCTTATCCGCTGAAGCCTGCCCTTCTGGTGAGCTACTCCACAAACCGCTAATAAGACACGGAGCTCATTTGCCTCAGGGAACATTTATTATGATGAGGGATGGAAAAGCACTAAACTGACTGAAGTGAGATGTGGGCAGAAAATATGGAGACATAGTTTGCTAGAGAGCTGCAGAATCGGGCTGCTTCCACATGCTTGTTCTTCATATTAATCAAATTTCAAGATCATATGAATTTCAAAAGTATTCTCTTTGGGCAGAAAAGATGAAATTCCTTTTGCCTTCCTGCCACCAAAGATCCAATTCTATGTATAGACTTTCTTGGCAGAAAGAGCTGCATCATATGGATGATGAGCTGAAAGAAAACCTCAGAGAGAAGCGTTTGTCTTACCAATGCATTACATGAGTTCCCAGACATGTGACTCCATTGCCAGCAAACGTTGGTCATTACCTGTATTGGCTCAGCAATTCACTTATGTAGACATGTTCAGGTGACGTTGTATAGAAAAAAAAACTAAACACCTTAAAGCAGTTTTAACCTTGCAGAAAAATCACATTTGTCACATTTTATAAACTATGCAAATGAGGAAAAATCCACTTGATACTGCTTCCCAGCCTTCTGAATTTCTGTTGAACATGTATTTTGTCTAAAATACACAAGATTATCTGTTTCTGTGAGACTTACTTTCAAAACTCAGAGTAATACACAATTTATCATTAAATTCACACCTACCCAATACAGAATACTACAGAAGTCGTAAAAACAAATATTGTTTTCACAAAT